CTCGTGGATTTGAGATTAATGGTAATTTTCTTTTTTCTTCTGTTTAATTCATGAATAATGATTGAATTGGGAGAATTGATTATATTTGTTGAATTTGATTTATGTAGCTGATTCTGATTGCTAGGGATAAGGGATAATTGTTCTTGTTGAACGTGCATTTGTCGGGCTTTGATTTGTTCATGCTTATGTGAGTTGAATAGATTAAGAATTGATGAATTTGTCTTGATTGATTGATATAATCGAAGAGTGACACTTCGATCTTGCAATTGGAAACGATTGAATGTTAATTTTTCGAGTTAGGATTTGTTGATTCTGCATGATTAGTTGATTTATACTCTTCTAATTGAATTAGCGACTTTTAGAACTGAAAGGGGGAGAAGTCGTAGACCTAGGCTCGCATGAGGTAGATGATTTCGTAACTGAATAGTCTATATGTTTTGGATTGAAATACGTGCTCGTCGGTGACCCGTCCCTTGTTACAAAAAGTTATTGGGATTGGGATAATTGCCGTGTATTTTATGCTCGAGCTTGCTCGTCTATGTTCAATCCCTTGTTATGAAGAGTTATTGGGAGAGAACCGCTAGATGTTTAAGTGAGAGCGTCAATCTGGAACAGAACGATTAATGTCTCGGTTTGCAAATAGAACTTAAATTTATTATCCCCGACTCTCTAGCTTCTCCATCTTTGTTTCATTCATATTTTTAGGTAGATTATTTGTTTTTATATTGTTTCTTAGTTGGTAATTATTCCTCCCATATTTGGTTAGAATGTTTAGGATTTATTTTGCTTTTATGTGCTTTTATCCCCGGGGAACGAATATTTCGATTCGATACTCGACAAAAAATAACAATTTGTGCTACAACACCAGATATCTAGTTGAACTGTGAACCTGGATACCATTAAGAGTAGAGCAGATAGAAATCTTCACATGCTCCAGAGTTTTTCTGCTAAAAAAAATTGAGGATTTTAGCAAATTTACTCTCTGCCCAGAAAACAAGATATAAGATTCTAAGATACTCATCAAAAGACAAGCTTGGCCCTGTTCTGCCTTACAAAACACCAGAGAATCGTCAGCAAAAAGTAAATGAGTCAAGGTGGGCCCACCCTTGATTAGTCTGAGGCCCCTAAAAGTGCCCACATCAACAGCTGATTGAATCAAAGAGAACAACACCTCAGTTATAATAAGAAACAAGTAGGGGGACATGGGGTCCCCCTGTCTCAAACCCCTAGAAGGAGTGACATACCCAGCAGCTTTACCATTCAACAAGAAAAAGAAAGAAGAGGAGGTAACACAAGCCATGACCCATTTAATGAATAACTGATCAAAACCCATTTTGCACATAGTCTGCCTCAACCCTTGCCACTCAACACGACCATATGCTTTCATCATGTCCAATTTTAAAGCCATAAAGCAATTATTGCCTGTTCTATGTGTATTTAGAAAGTGGAAGGCTTCTTGAGCAATAATCACATTATCTAGCAATTGTCTACCCGAGATAAAAGCAGATTGAGTAGGACTAATGCACACATCCAGACATCCTTTCAATATTGAGGCCAGAATTTTAGAAATGATCTTGTACACCACAGTGCAAAGACTTGTAGGTCTATAATGAGATAGAGAGACTGGATTTAAGCACTTAAGAATAAGGCACATAAGGGTATGGTTCCAGTACCTGAGAATCTTCCCAGATGAGAAAAAACTTTGAACTGCTGCACACACCTTGTGTTGAATAATAGGCCAATAGTGCTGGTAAAAAAGAGCAGTGAGGCCTTCTATTCATCTCAGAAGTGATAGAAGAAAGGATGTACTGAAGGACAATATTCTCTCCCACAGAGCCTTCAGATGAGAATAAGGAGTGATAAGAGTTCACCACATGCTCTTCAATGGTCTGTTCAGTATCAATCACCTGGTTGCCTTCCACTAGTCTGGTAAGAGCATTTCTCTTTCTCCTCTCATAGTATAAGCATGAAAAAACTTAGTGTTAAGGTCCCCTTCCTTGAGCCATTGCACTCTAGATTTCTGCATCCAGTATTGTTCTTCAGTACACTAAGCCAACTCAGTTCTTACTTAATGGCCTCCCATTCCTGCCAGTTCTTATCTCCTCCTAATGCCATTCTTATCTCCTCCTATTGCCCTCATCTCCTCAAGCTTCAGAGTGAGCTTTCTGATCTTCTCTTTCCCCTGTGATCTAAAGTTTTTACTCTAATGAGACAAAGCCATCCTTGTTTGTTTGATGCTTTCTTTGAGAACAAACATAGGAGTGCCAAGGTGAGGTTTGACCCATGCTTCCTCTTTAATTTGCTTGCAGCCTTCCATATTGACCCACCTTTTGTCAAAAGAGAATCTCCTTGCCTTCTTTTGATGTTGTCCCTCCCTATCAAGGATGAGCATCCCATGATCTGAAGCTGATTTGAATAAATTAATCACCTTAGCTTCTGCATTCTCAGATATCCACTCTAGAGAGCCAAATGCCTTGTCAAGTTTTTCCTTCACATAACCCTCACTGCCCCTATTGTTCCCCTAGGTATATTGATATCCCTGCATCTGGATTTCACTCATGCTCATTCTTGCAATAAAATTGTTGAAACCTAGAAAACTCCTAGAACTTATGATCCTTCCCCACTTCTTCTCCTTCGTACTGCTAATTTCATTCAAGTCCCCTGCAATGCACCATTTCTCTCCCCATTCCTCTTTGTCTCTTTATAAAATTTGCCATTGAGCCTGCCTAATGAATTTATCTGTGCTCATATAAACAAACACAATCCATTCGGATGTCCCTTCTCCCTCCTTTTTGTACTCCACTTGCACATTAAAATTATACTAAAAAATATAAAATTGTTCCCACATTGAGGCAAAGGTCTCATGATTCATCTCATTTTTTTTTATCTTATAAATTATTTTTAAAAAAATTTAAAAATTTTGTTGCGCGCATGACCAGCCAAAGATGCCGGTCACACGTAGAGCGACCGATTTTCATAGTCGGTCGCAACTTAGAGCCGCCGCAATAAGCAGCCGCTCGCGCCTTCGGTTGGCTGACATCCCCAACTTGCCGACTGCATGAGATTTTTTTATTTATTGTAATTATAATTATTTAAATATTTAAAAATAGATTGAATTAATATTTTGATTTAGGTTAATTCAGATAAATTTCAGTTTACTAGTTATTTATAATATGTTACTTATAAAAAATATATTATATATATTATTAAATATAATTATATTAGAGGGAAATACTACGGTCCCGTTATAGAATCATTCTGTCGGGATTTGTAACCATTAGATCATCATGTAACCGTCAGGGATAGTTTATCTAACGGTTACGAACCCCAACGGAATGGTTCAGTAACGAGACCGTAGCATTTCCTTATATTAGAATTGTGATAATAATACTTTTTAATAATATTAATTATTAATAGGATAATTTATCTAACTTTAGTATTTTTAAGAACGAATTAGTTGTAATATATGTAATAAAATAGTTTGTTGAGTAATTATTTCAAAAATTAGTATTCTAATATAATTAAAATAGTTTGCTCTCATTTCTAGCGGAGTAAAGGGGATGACCATACTAGAGGTATACACGGGAAGAGTTTGAGCTTTCTCACTCTTCCTAAAGAAGAAGGTGGCTTAGGCTTCATTGATATCAAAAATTTCAACATTGCTCTTATATGCAAACAACTCTGGAGGATCACAACTCGGCCACATCTGTTGGTGAGCATAATTTTGAAAGATAGGTATTACCCAGACTGCTCCATATTTGATGCTATGAAATCAACAAAGTGCTCTTGGCTCTAGGCAAACTAGCCTCTCTATTTTTGGCAAATGATTTGCAATTGAGATCAGGAATGATGAGTCCACCAGATTGGATGATGTGAACTGGGTGTCATCCTGCTGAATTCAAAGCCATCACTCATTGACATTGCTCGAGGGCATATCACATGGGTCAAAGAACTTCTCAATGGATCTGTAATGGGGTGGAATGCTTGGCTACTCAAACAACTATACAATGACATAGACAGTGCAACTATTGTCAAGATATGCACACTTAAACCAAGAAGCAAGACAAACAGTTTTGGAAGTTTGACAGGAAAGGTGAGTTCTCAGTTGCAAGTACTTACTCTTTTCTATCCAAACAGAAACTCCTCACCTTAGATTTACCTTGCAGCAGCTCTAGTACAAGTCATTCTTATAATTCTGCTAACTCTAGGTGTCGGTAACTGAAAATTATTAGAAAAGTGAAACATTTTATTTGGAAATGTCTTTCTGCGTCCTTGCCTATCAAAATCAATCTGTAAAAAGGGGAACTGATGTTGATTTTATCTGTCAAAGCTGTGGGGGAAGTTCCAGAAACAGTGGAACACATTCTTTTTCATTGTCCAAAAGCAGCTAGAGTATGGGACATTTCCCGCGTTAGTTGGGCTGGTTTGCATTCTGTAGTTTCTTCAGATACTGGTGGAATCACATCTGCACTGTGGGATCTTCTGAGATAGCTGAAGGAAGAATCCAACTTACAACATACCTGCTTTGGCTCTAGAAGTCACAAAAGCTTTGGATATTCCATGATTAATCCATCCCTGCTCATCTGGTGATCAAGGCAACTCAACAAGATTAGGTGGAATTTTCTTACTTAGCATACTAGCAGCTGCTATCCAGATGTATTTCTATATTATGCTTTCTGTTGGAATCTGTATGGTTTGTTTGATAGGAATTTTCTCTAAGCCCTTGGGCAGTGGAGGGTGATTGGTTGAGGATTGTCTTTTTCTGTTGTTTGTGTTTTAGGTCGCTTTATGCGTGTCTTCCCAACAAAAAAAAAAAGTTTAGAAGATTTGAGAATTGGGATATATATTTGTAACTCCGCAAGAGAGGCATCGCTTTGAATTCAAAAACATTGAAAATTTGAAATTAACCCGAATTCGCGTATCGTCATCCGCCTTTACCTGCTCCGTCTCAACAAATCTCAAATCTCTCTCATTCAGTGGACGATCTTCAATCCAACTACATGGATTCGCCATCTGAACCCCAATCTCAACTCTCGAATTCCATCGACCACTTCCCTAATCACGATAACCACCCTCACCCTGAATCCGAAACCCTTGAGAAAACCCTAGATTCAACGGAAAACGTATCCTCCGCTACCGCCGTCGCAGATACTTCCACCCCTGCCCCAAAGCCCGATTTCCCTAAGCCGTTGCTGTCGGAGAACTGTCTAACCAAGACGCACAGCGGAACCGACAAGGATTTCTCTGGCGGTGAAGAGGAAACCAGCAGCCGGAGGAAACGGCGGTCCCGGTGGGATCCTCTACCGAGCGAATCCACAAACGAGGGCGCCTCCGGCACTGGTGATGATAATTCGGGAACCGGAAGTAGGAAGAGGAAGTCGAGATGGGCGGATGACGAGCCTAAGCCCGTGGTCCAGCTACCTGAATTCATGAAGGAACTCACTGGAGGTATCGAGCTTGATCCAGAGTTCCAAGCTCTCAACAGCAGGTTGCTTGAGATCACCCGGAAGTTGCAATCTGGCACAACTTTGGATGATAGGCTCGAGGGGGCTAGGTCGCCCTCGCCCGAACCTATCTATGATAACATGGGAGTTAGGATTAACACTAGGGAGTACCGCGCTAGGGAGAAATTAATCAGGGAGAAACAAGAAATAATAAAACAGATTCTCGAGAAAAATCCTGCCTTTAAGCCACCTGCAGATTACAGGCCGCCGAAACTTCAAAAGAAGCTTTACATTCCAGAGAAAGAGTATCCAGGTTACAATTTTATAGGTCTCATAATTGGTCCACGAGGAAACACTCAGAAAAGGATGGTAAAGGAGACTGGAGCAAAGATTGTCATAAGAGGCAAAGGGTCTATGAAGGAGGGCAGACAGCAGCAGAAGAGGGATCTGAAGTACGACCCTTCCGATAATGAGGATCTGCACGTACTGGTGGAGGCAGATAATCAGGAATCACTCGATGCTGCTGTGGGTATGCTAGAGAAGCTCCTGCAGCCTGTTGACGAGGTTCTCAATGAGCACAAAAGGCAACAGCTTAGGGAGCTTGCAGCACTTAATGGTACTATTAGAGACGAAGAGTATTGCAGGTTGTGCGGTGAGCCTGGGCATCGCCAGCTCTCGTGCCCTTCCCGCCTGACAACGTTCAAGAGTGACGTATTGTGTAAGATTTGTGGCGACGGAGGACATCCTACTATAGATTGCCCGGTGAAGAATACAACAGGCAAAAAAATGGACGACGAGTACCAGAATTTTTTGGCCGAACTAGGTGGTACGCTTCCAGAATCTCTGACCAAATCAAGCTCTCCAGCTACTCTTGCTCTTCCTGGTAGCTCAGGATGTAATCCACCCTGGGCAAATGGCACAAACACTTCTAGTAATACCACTCATGCTGGTTTGGGATCAAATCCAATAAAACCAAAGGAATACGATGAGACTAACTTATACATCGGTTTTTTGCCCCCGACTATGGAGGACAATTCCCTGATCAGCTTGTTCTCCCAGTTTGGTGAAATAGTGATGGCCAAGGTTATCAAGGACCGCGTATCCGGTCTGAGTAAGGGCTATGGGTTTGTGAAGTATGCTGATGTTCAGCAGGCTAATACCGCCATTGCCAGTATGAATGGCCATAAGCTGGACGGAAGGCCAATTGCCGTGAGAGTGGCCGGTAAACCTCCTCAGCCTCCAGTACCTCCAGGTCCACCTGCTCCCCCGAGTCAGCCTGTTGGTGCCTACCCTTCCCAGCAGTACTATTCCGGTGGACCCACGGGAGGCCCACCTTCTGGAGTCTATAATGGGGCTCCCGTTCCCTGGGGACCTTCTCCTCAATATGCCACTTATCCCCCACCCCCACCCCCACCCCCACCCCCTCCTGGATCAATGGCTTTCCCTCCTCCCCCTCCTCCATACAGCGTACAATATCCACCCCCACCACCACCCCCACCAGGTTCATCTGGCGTGCCTACGCAGACTGTATCGTCTACTGATACACAACAAATTTATGTTTCTTCAGGCGAGATACGGCAAAGCTATATCTATGGAAATTCTGTAACTTCCATGCCGTTCAACGGTCAGGTTTCGTACCAACTGCATCCATATACCTATCCACCTCGGTATGCTGCTGTTCCTCCTCTAGCAGCAATGCCTCAGTCCACTGTAGAACATACTCATGGCTTGAGTAATGCACCCTGGACGTCAAATCCATTGGTGCCTCTGCCACCATCATCTTCTGAGAAGACAGACACAGAATATGAGAACTTCATGGCAGAAATGAAATAATGAAGTGATTCGATAGTTGGCTTTTCTATTCCCAAGGTAAGCGTAGTCCTCTTCTTCTTTACCACATTATTAAGAGACTTTTCTATTTGATTTTTGCAAGCTTTTCACCACAACTGTTATTTTTTCATGCCTGTGCATATCATCTTTTTATCATGGGAAGCTGTAATGCAATGTCTAAGGTGGCAAAAAGAAAGTACTGCAGTTGATGCAAAAACGGGGTAGGTTGTTTGCCATTTTGGTTGGACCACAATACTTCCTTTTTGCAGTGTATAATATTGAGAAAGTTGTGATTCAGTGTTTAAGGTTGCAAAAAGAAAGTACTGCTGTTGACCCAAAACCTAACTAGATCTATTTGTCATGGTTAGATTGTGTGTTTTACAGTGCAGAGCTATTTTTGTATGAACAAAACTAAAAATTGTAGAGCGAGATATAAGTTGCTATATGATGTTGGAGACTTTTTTTAACTCTTGTTGATTAAGAACAAATCAGAAATAGAGAATCCAATAGTAAAGAATGTCCCCCCAAATCATATGTCCAGCCTTATATCATTCTTAGGGAGAACTAGACATTGAATTCTATTGAGAAATACTTCTTGCCCAAGAATGATGCGGAGATGGAATAAAAAACATTTAGAAACATTTGGAAATTTTGAAATGAAGTAAGGATATGGTATAGGTTGGCAAGTTAATCTAATGAACTAGATGGCTTTCAGTCCTTTTTTGTCATTTTAATTAAGATTTCGCTTTAGCTCTTATAAGAAATGGTTCAGGTGTTTTTTTGCAAGGTTTCCAAAACTGGACTATCATTCTACTAGTCGGACATTGTTTGGACTGGTTAGACTAGTATATATTTTATTAATATGTTTTAATATTATATAGTACTCTAAATAATTAATTAGATACATAAAGTATCATTAGTTTAATACTTAAGTATATTGATATATGCAATTGTTTATATTAATTGAAATAGTAATTTATACACAACCAATATATTTAAATATATATTATTGTTGTGATAACGAAAATTGTTTATAACTGTTGCCGGGCGATTTTCATAAAAGAACCGGACTTGGTGTGAAGCCCGGTTCCTGGCTGGACCGGTTGAACTAGCTGGTTCTGTTTGGTTTTCAAAACTATGTTTTTTTGTCATTTTTATGTAATGAAAGAACAAATTGGTTGCCAGGAAGAGTGCCTCCTGAACAGAATGATGTTGTGACTCAGATGTTTTATTATTCAGCTGCGTAATGGTGATGTAGAGTTTTGGTTTAGTAATGAAATCAGTACCTCGTCTAAATTTTTCTGTAAGCTGCAGATAGCCATATTCTGAATGAACATCTCTTTATTGGCTGTGGCGGTGTTCCTCTACCCCATTTGTTGGTGCCGTCTCCTCGTATGAGCCCATATTATTGTATAATGTATCATTGATTATGCATGTTTTCATTCTTAAGTAAGTAGTTTATTTTAATATTTCATTGGCAAATCATAATACATGTTCTTTACAGGCTGTATGTTGCAGGACTTGTGATCCTGATTTCTTATCTCTTGCCACGAATTTCTTGCTGGAAGTTTGGGACTCACATAACCTTTCTGTACTGTTACATTTGCAGAGATGTGCTTAAAGTACAGTTCATTCAGCCGCTAATTCAGAGTCTTTCGTTGGTTATATTTTTTGTTGGAGTGCTTCTTTTGGGAGGTTATACCGAATGTGATTTATCGAATTTTATTCATGTTAATATCGTTGAATTTTTTTTTTCTTTTTTCTCTAGTTACTAACCATTGTGTCGACTCCAATGCTGATATGATTACACTTTTGTCTGCTTTCACTATTAGTCCTTGTTACAATTCCTTGTGATCGTAGTATCCTACCCTCCTCTGAAAGTGAGCCTGACTTGGATTGTGACATCACAGGTGGTACCTTCAATCTCCATTTATTTATATATATATATATATATGTATATGCATATATTATGTTAACATGTTATCTCATTTCCCTAATTTTCTCTACTGCCTTTTCCCAGCTAATGTATGGCAGGTGGTTTATGCTTGGATAGTAGTACGTGTGCTCTGTTGAACGTTTCTTAGAATTCTTTTTTTTTTTTTACCTACCTCGAACTGTTTGATGAGAGTCGTGGTTTAGCTTGTTATATTTTAGTTCATTGGATTGATTTATATAGTCTATAGATCTGGGTACTAAAGGGAGTTCTTGGAGGGGTACCAGATGACAGGTTTTGCATTTTGCTGCACAATTGAATTTAAAAGAACTTTGAGAAAAAAAAAAAAAAAAAAAAATGCTTTTAAGTAGATACTGGCGCGTTTTGGTTGGAATTAGGCAATTTGACTTTATACCCCACTACTTTAAAAATATTATAAAAATACGAGATGTTAGATTTTAATTGCACGGTTACCATTTTTAGAGCTTTTATTTGTTGTTCAAGCAAAAACTTCTGTTATGTCTTTAATCCACCTTCCTACAATCACTCAATTTTCCTACAATCAGGCAAAAAATGGATTAAAAGATTAGTTAAATGTATTTAACTCAATAATTAGGAATATGTTTGATATGAAAAAGAGATATAATTAAGAATTTGTTCACCCTCTTTGAAATTAGTAAGTCCGTCGAAGTATATATCTTAGGTATATTTTTTGTATATGTGGGTATTGAATGAGATATGTAGTTCAAGGTTTAGAGTGTATATCTTAGGTATATTTTATGTATGTGTGTTCTGAAATTGATTTTGAGAGAAACGATTGAAACTCGAGTGTATAATTATTAAAGTATATTTTGTGTATATGTATGTCCTGATCTAGGCTTGAATTACAAGAATCTAGAGTGTATATTTCATGTATATTTTATGTATGTGTGTTGTACACTTTGGTATATAGTGTATGCACTTGCAACATGTAAATTTTCATATCTATGGCAACGTATAAATCATGTACAAAATTTTCATACTGGAAACATAAATTTTCATATCCAAAACAACAAAACAATAATCAACTAAAAAAAAAAAAATTCACTTTTCATAGGCGTAAGACTTGAACTTGAACATCGAGAGGTTGCGGCTGGACTCCTTTAGTGAGGTCTCTACGCGGTTCATCTTCTTGTTCTTGGACGATTTCTTGAGATGGATCATGGTGGTGGGGTTTGCGTCAGTCGTCTTCATCATCTCGAGTTTTTTGGAGGTTCTTGTCGATGATGGATGTAGCGC